GATGTTTTCCTCCTATTGTTCACTCAAATGGGTCACCAAAAGACAGCAGTCAAAAGCGACACATGGAAATGCATGCTTAACGGTTGCTTAAACTAAAATGAACGGGCGGCGNAAGTTGCTTGAGGGACTATTACAGGACGGTAGAAGGGGTAAAGGGAGAGGTTTTGGAACGGAAGACAAAGAGTTAAAGGTTGGGATATCTGAGCAGTGGCCCACTTATCACTACCCACCCCGCTCGATGCAATGGGTAGCGCGGTCCTGATTATCCTGCGCGACGACCGATGCAGTATGAAATTATTGTTTATTTATTCATTGCAGCATTGAACACGCATATATGTTGATACAAACAGGCACAGAGTGCAAACACTCAGCATAAGCCACCGGATTTAGGGTCATGAACCCTGTGAGGCCCTGTTAAGTTAGGTGTAGTATCGAGCCGGGTGACAGCGAAGTTTCATACCATCTAGCAATGATAAGCTCGCTAGAGAGATGACCCCGATCTTGGCCCAGGCGAGACGTTGATTGTTTTGCGCATGTACACTTAGTAAAGTATGCACACGTCCGTTCAGTTCAGTCTGAACAACCATTGGCCATGCACCTCCGGGCGGCGCTTTGTGTTGCTGACTTTTAGCTACCCGTTTGGTCTAAGGTGTAGGAGAAATTTAGGAAAGTTGAAAGTTGAGTTGAACAAAAAAATGGAGGATTTCTGTGAACCAAGGTTGCAAAGAAAATGAGAAGATACACGAACGCTACTGTTTGCAACACTCAGTCATATCACTCTGTCTCTACCCATTGATTACAGTGATCCCGAGATCCCCATGCAGGGGGGTCTAACAGCACTTATGGGAACAGTCTCCTGGTTAAGATTTTCATACCCTCGTATCAGGTCTTATTTTGACCACCACCCTAAATAAAGGGATGCGTTCCTGTATCCAAATGTTGCAGAGAAATGTAGTAATACAACTTACGTGGTTTTTGGGTGCGCGGACCGAGGCTTCCTCGTGGTACATACTGGTCGGGATGTCGTACATGAGCCAAAATTCGAACCATTGCTGTTGTGGGCTCTTGTAGGATGTAACCGTAATGATCAGTAGTTTTAAGTTTCAAATGAGAAAGAGAGTTTTCCAAGTGGATAAGACTTCGGGGCACGGCATATTTCACCTTAGCCCATACCGACAAAGGGCTTTTTCTTTGTGAACTCTAACCGGAGCCTTCGACTTAAAAGTCGCATCCACAAGGCAATGGGGCGTAGATCCAACGTCGGAGCGTGAATGAACCACCAGTGTGGAAGATTCTGGAGACGTCACGCAAGGTCTTTGAATTTCGGTTAAGTTTGTTGTTCGCTGGTGCGTTAGTTGACGGTGCGCTTATCCGGATTGGCCCTTAGTCTCATGCACCCAATGAGACAAGCGAAACGTGGACGGGACAATACTTTAGTAGCCCGGGCTGCCCAGCTTGGTCGGATGGTAGCTATTCAGTGAAGTGCAAAGACTGCTCCAACCGTCAAGAGGAAGCCCCAGGTACTCCTACGTCCATCTAGCGATTTTTTTAATGGTAAACTGCCTCGCCTCGTGCTTTTTTCTGGAGTGACCTCTCCAGAGGCGGGAGTGGGTAGTCAAGGGAAGTCAGGAGGTGCCCAAGCAGCTGGCTTTGTGAGACTGATCTTAGTCTGATCTCTACCCATTGACCTATCAGGCATGCTTTGATCTGTGGCTGAGGAACCATCCTGTATGACTCGCAGGGTCATGGAGGCACGCAAGCCATCACACCACGTCAAGGTGCAGTCTCATCGTGATGGGGTGGTGGCAGTGGCGATCAACAAATCCACTGCAGAACTGAAAATTCGTAAGAATGTTTGTTTTACCTACACAGAGTCGTATCGAAGACCAGCCTCTTGTTTCATCATCTTTTTGTTTAGTATACTGTTCTCGTGGAATTTTGGTCTTCAAGCATTGAAAATCCACTGGAGGTTGATTCCCGCTCTCAGTTCACCGTTCCTAGAGATCCAAAACAGACGTAGGCTCACATGCTAGGCCGAAACAACTACACATTTTCTTTTGCTTCGTCTCACTACTCTCCTTCATGAGGATAAGTGGAAGTCGTCGAAATCTCCAACAGCAGTACTAAGAAGAAACCGTTTATCAACTCGGTATGATGGATTGTGCATCCATCGGACCAAACAAGTTACAAATTGGCGTTGTCCGATCATAACTGCATCTTACCTGGCACCTCCCTGGGCAGCTACATCTCACCCGGTGGACGCATCACGGATGAAGTGTCAGCTCGCATGCAAAAGGTTCGGTTGGCATTTGCCAAATTGAGACATCTGTGGCGCCGTCGCGTCATCTGTCTGTGAAGGGTCGAGTGTATACTGCGGCAGTTCGGCTTTAGGGCGCAGAAACTTGGCCTCTGAGAAAACAGGATAATCTTCGTTCTGCTCTTTCATCCAAATGGGCAAGCAAAAGACAACCCAAACCGGCGCACGAAAGTACGTGGTTAATGATAGCAAGAACTGAACTGGGTCACAAATCGGAAGTGGTCGTCAGTCTGTTGGTTAATACTGAATATGACAGCCTCACGTTTACTAAAAAAGGCGGTCGGGGACGAACAGTGACAATACCCGATAATGGTGAGATTTTGTGCAACTAACGTAGTCCCTAGAAAGAGCCACGAGTCTGAAGACGGCACTGTGACGTGGCAGTCTTGCTACCAAATAGAGTTGCTGCCCCTCGTTTCCTCGTGAAGCAGTATTCTGACAGATTAGCAAAACTGAAAATTTAATCCCAGAATCTTGTGAAAAGTGTGATATGCCTTGGTTGAATCAATCAAGTACGAACTGGCTCACAAATAGTTGCGAAGCCTGACTCACTGCCGCCTTGCAGATGAGGCCCTTTGAGCGAAACGATTAGAGTGGAACGATGTGAGGTAACTTCCTACCCCAGTACGGACCTCATACGAGGTGTCTTTTTACGGTATAAAATCGAGTGGTACTGGAGCTGCCATTTCGTACGATATTCCCGTGTTTATTCATGAATGGTCTCTCTACAATGCTCACTAATTATCCTAAGGCGTTCCCCTACTGACCCGAACAACAACTAAGAACAATGAACACTGGGTCGCGAATCCGCATTGATTGTCGCAACGTGAGAGCTCTTTTAGATCGCGACCATGCACACATCACGATTACGGAATCGATGCAGTCTATTTACCTGAGGTACGTGTACCTAACTCAGGCCGCCAGCAGAAAAGATCCAAGTAAGTGTCCTTCCTTGTGCGAACAGTTGGTGCTTGACGGGAACAATCCGTGGTCCGCGCACAGTTGAAGTAGGCGATCTGCGTTGTCTGTCCGATTAGCTGGAATTGCATGCGGTCCACCAAGAAGCTTTTCTGATTCGTCCAGGTATCCCACTTGAGCATTGTGGTCTCCGGCGACTACTTCGAAGTCCGTCGATCGAACTCTTTGGAGTAATTGAGAAAGGTCCTTGTAGAATTCATCATTGACTTCAAGTGTACTGCAATCGGTCGGTGTATATACCGACACAACGAATAAGCATCGACCCTTCGTTCTGTAGCTTCTGACCCGTAGTGCACCATCCAGACGTACAGCGCACAATCGGTTACTAACCGGAATCCAGTCAAAAAGTGAACGCTCGGCCTTGACACCAAAAACACCGCGAGCGTCGGATGCCGAATTGCCCAAAACACGGAGAGTGAAGCGTAAGGATGAGGTCGAATCTAGAAATCGTAGTGATTATTGAAGGAGGCTTTACTAATATGAATTCCATGAACCAGCAAGTTTACTCTTGATAAACTCCATCTAGTGGGGTTTTCGACCGGTAGAGTGCGGCCCTCCGTGTATATGTGCATGAGTGACCTCCGGAGGCGAGCTTGAATAACCAAAGAAAGCCAGGTGCCCAAGCAGCATGATTGAAGCGGCGGCCTTGAAAAGCTATAATGTGTAGCTCGCATACATCATTTCCTTTGTGCGACCACAAAAATAAACAAGAAAAAACTAAAAACAGCAAAACTAGCAAAAAATTTGTTATTCCCCCAAGATGACCGTTTCTTCGCTTTTGTTCCTATACTTTTCGTTAACCCATGGTTATTTTTGCGCTGTATTTGTAAGGATCGGTATTATATCTATATATCAATTCAATATGCAATCTCGTCGTGATGGGCCGATCTGAACATTAATGACGAATTTTCAAAATAACTTCATAATGTACTCATTCGAACATTTTGTTGGTTGCTGGGGTCTGGATCCTCTGCACGGTCCCTGCAGATGAGCATAAGCAATACAATTAGGGAAATTCCGCCTCGGCACAAGACGGAACCGTGGTAAGAGTCTAGTTTGCTTACCATGACGAATATCTCCATCCAACACCGTGAAATTACTTGCTAACTTGGTATTCCAATGACCACATCGACTTTATGTTGATGCGTTCTCGCTGGACATCATCGAACAAGAGCTGGCTAGTGTTCATCGGCTCGACAAGAGTTTCGTTCACAGGATAATGTAGACTTGGGCCACGTTGATTTGGATTCTCGTAAGGAACAAACTTGAACAATGTGCACTACGGACTTTTGATTTATTCTTTGCAACTACTTACATGTTTTGAGAATTTGGCGGTAGACAGCTTTGGTATCACTCGGTTCTATAACACACCTGACCTATCAGGGCCTTACGTGGTTTGCTACTCCAAGTCCCGAGGCTTAGGTTGCCAGTTACCATCAGTGAACAGTGGGTCTTCGTGACTATGGGGTTCCACCCCGTCTGCTGTCCATAACACGCCGATGTGTAACAAATTGAAATGAATAGTCTGTGAATGAGAAATTCGAAGCATATGGATTGAGTAGACATACCATGGCGTCTATCTTTTGATTTATAATATGCATGGTCAACGGATACATGTTCCATTTCTCTTGATTTTAGGTGTGACACCAGGCGTATCAAGAAAAAGGTAATCGAATTACGTTATTAAGTTCACCTATAAGTGGCAATGGGGTGTGCGGATTGTTTTGAGAATTGTGAACTGGAAAATAAGCGAAATTTTGCAGCTTCGGTTGTCTCTGGTTTCATTTTCGCGTTGGCATGGTGGATACTCATAGATGCCGCTTCGCGTTACACTCATGAAGAATTCCCGCCCGCTTACCACACTGCTGGTGTGTTTGGAACAATCGCTTTTGTTCTCATCAATTTAGTTCCAAATTCAGCGGTAAGTATTTCTTTAGCTTTTTTACCCCGTGACAGATCTTGCAAATGATTTTTATTTCCCATGTGAAGTACAGAACCGACCGCTGCTCCTTCATATAGTCTGAGGAGACAATCTCATAAATTCTCTAACGGTAGGAAACAGGAGTTGATCATATGCGTGACTTACCAGGACTATGCTACTGCAATATAACCAGTAGTAAATGATTTGAACTGTCACTGGGGCGCCATTAAGCTAAGCGACGATGAAGCTGTATACAGTGGCACAGTTTGAACTTCGAACCACTGGGCCAAAGGCAGGTCAGCTACAGTGACTTAAAACGCTTGCCCATCACCGCTCTGCCGGTAGTCATAATAGAATAATAACTCTACGAGGCTATGGGGTTCACATCTCACGCTGTCTATAATATGGAGCTGCAATAAAGAATTTATTCATCCGAAACAAAATAATTTTAGCGGGAAACAATCATCCAACAAATTGATTATCCTATCCAGAATGAAGTTTTGTGCTTCTCCACCATTGCGATTTACAAGTTGATCCAATATTTCGTTTTGATGGTTGAAATATCCACATATTGATCGAATCCACATTAAATTCAACAACTCATAGATGGATCCATTCTGCATGACTGCCTAAGATGATAGCACGTGGTGTTTAGTAGAAATGTTATTATTTTCAAATACGGATACCCCGGGTGTTGTTCTTTGCTTTCGGGGTTCGTCGATACGTTCATTCCGTGCTCGGAAATTCTTCAAGATTGTAGGTTTCATCCCCTTTTGTTGTTCAAACACCGCTGTCCAAGTCGCATTGCAAGGGTCTGGTGGGGCAACCGGACAAACAGTGCTGAGGTTAGGCGCAGAGTGTTAGAGAATCGTGGACGCCCACGGGAACACGTGTCCGACATCCATAGATTACGTTGGTTGGGGGTGTTGCGCATGTCACTAAAGAGGTTGCCACGGCGCGTAATGTTTACCGAGGCAGGCAGAGGGTGGCTACAAGCGAAGGGTGGTCAAAATAAGACCTAGTACTAGGGTATGAAAACCCAGTAACATGGGTTGCATTACGCTTCCTGAATGGGGACCTCCGCATCATTGTAAGCAATGATCAGATACACCGAGTGATATGGCTGAGTGTTGCGGACAGCCGCGTTCGTGCATCTCGATTTCCTTGCAACCTTGATCTCCATTTTCTCTCCGTCTCTACTTTCAACTTTCCTGTCTTTCTCCTACACCTTCGTCCAAACGGGCAGCTGAAGGTCGGTAAGCAAAAGCGCCACACGAAGGTGCATGCTTACTGTCTGCACAAACTCAACTTAACTGTTCGTAGTNGTTCGTAGTGATGAGATGTGCCAACAATGTGATGAACGGTACTAGCTGCGGAAAGAGCGATGTGCCTCCTGGAAAATTTTAGCCATCCATACAAATACTTTCTCTCGGATGCTTTGCGATGTTAAATAATGCTAATTGGTGCATTATAACATACAATAACTTGCTAGGTTGCATTCAGCTCTCCATTATGAGTTTACGCGCGTCTGGGTTCGAACTATTAGCTGAACCAATTGCAGTAAAGTCATCTTTATAAAAAAGGGTAATATCCGTGGGTGGAATACTGTCAGGTTGCCCAGACCAAAATAGATGAATTTCCTTGGAGAGTTCACACTGTTTTGGATCAGTAACTTTCACGCAACCTATCATAAATGATGGCTCAGTAGAGTTTTATTGATGCTAACTCATGCTTTATAGTATTAGTCGAGCAGAGCTTGTTCGTCCTATTGATTAAAGCCAGAAAACCGTTCCTTTTCTGATTTTATGTCACAAAACATCGTAAATAAGCTTGCTTTTTTTTACCGTGTTCTAAGACTGCTAAACCCATGCCAGTATACTGCGTATAAGAAAATGTGTCACGCAACCGATAAGCTGAATATATAGTAACATAATATCTGCTATCTTGTATAGCTCTTACCGTTACCAGTGTGCCCTCTTATTTTTTCCAGCTAAACGATGACCTGAGCAGTAGCCCGGGTCGCAGACGTGCCGCGTTTTTCTGCCTGTTCTTTTCATTCGTCATGATATTTAGTTGCGTCGTTGCAGCCTGCTGGATTTTGTTCGGAGGTTACGTGGCTGCCGGGAAAACCCCAGTCTGGCCGGGTGTCGCCATTCTGATGCAAAATCTTTTGCTGTGCATCTCGTCATTGGTTTATCGCTTCGGTCGTAAAGAGGTGGACTATTGAGTATCCGGCTAGTTTCTTTATCCCGACTCTCAATTCTTCTCTGTTTTAAACAACATCCTACCTATTCGTTTACTTTCGCCAACCTAAATCGTGTGCAACCAAATATTTTATCCCGTCATCATCTATATCATAAAACTGTTTGATCACAAAATACCAATCATGTACAGAAGAAGTTCAGAATAAAAACAAAACTGTTTTCATTGGGGCGGGGGTGATTTTATTCGGGGCTAATTAAGAGTTGACAGTTTACTCGTAGTACTTTCATCTCCGGCGCACAGATCATAAAAGGCTCTATGAAGAGAAGAGTGGAGGATTAGTTAACGAAAGCGAAACACTTACCCCGGAACGGATACTGCTTTCGACCCTCAAACATACGCTCATCAACGGGATCCACCTTTAGAGAAAGAGAAGAAAAACGCGCTATTTAAACATATAGAATATATATCGGGGTCGGAAATTCCTGAAATTCATTTTAGCAAGGATTCGTTAGCAGTCGGTTGTAGACAATCGCTTGGCCATTCTGTAACAGTGGAAGGATTCTTATGTTGTCACGTCATGATCATCGTACTGCTGCTCAAAATGCTGGTGGCTATTAGGTGTGCAGGATCGGAAGATCCACAGTTAGACAATAAGAGCTATCCAATCACCGGGTGTCGATTGGTACACCGGAAAGTAAAAATGTAAAACTTGAAGAGTAATCTTAGTGTAAGGCATTACGCCTAGAGGCGGATGGCTAAGTGTACTCGTGAAAAAGTGAATTCCACAAGGGTTAAATGAGGCCAGGA